TTAAAATAAAAGCCTTGCCATGTCTTTCAGACACAAAATTCCAACAGATTTTGTAGACACATCTCATTTTGCTTTAGTTTAAGTTCGAATCTTGCATATTTGTATATATGCATATTTTAAATTCTCCAAAGGCACGGTGTCAAATAAACCTTTTGTCATCTCTTTAGGGATCTGCTAAGCTGGAAAAAGCAGAGATCTTGCAGATGACTGTGGATCACCTGAAAATGCTGCACACTGCAGGAGGGAAAGGTATGCCTCTCCAGTTCTGTCTGGGGCTCTGCGTGGTCGGCGGCGCTGAGGGAGCAGCAAACGCAGTCTGGATTGGTGCAGTCCCTATCTGCTTTTGCTTTGGGGGTGGGGAGAGAACAGTATGTGGTTGCCAGTCAGTGCACCTTGAACAGCACATCGGCTCTTGGACGGTGAATTCATCACCCCAGCCCTCATCCAACTGCACTAACTCACCTTCCAGCAAGTGTCCGACATCTCTGAGCTGCTCCAGTTGTGACAGCCATGATTTAGGTCAAGTCGCTTGCATATGTCTGTTGCCATTTAAGAAAAGCTTGGGAAATGGCTTATTAAAAACAGCAGCTATGTAGTCTGAATTTCATATTCAGGATTTAAAAAAGAATCCAGAGGAAAGGGACCTGTTGTGGCTAAGTATAGGGAAATTCTAACTGACAGTGGGAGGCTGAAGCCTGTGTCTGTCTCCAGCCCAAAAATTCTTCACCAAGGTCCAAGTGCCTAAAAGCTTCACGATGATAACTTACATCTGTGTGTCTAATGAATTTCACTACTCTGTGGTTTCTCTGTCCTTGATGTATTTTTTGTTGTTGTTGAGGGGAAACATTAAAGGAAAGAACAGTTTCATCTGCTAGTAGGGTATAATTCCAATTTCTGCTCAGCAGCTTCTAATTGGGCTTTGAACTTGCATTAGCAAACATATAATGTAGATTAATGCAAAGATTTTGGTCAGCTCCAAAATATTTGCTCTTCCAGGACCCATGCATGATCCCTGAGGTAACCCTGTATGTGTATTTGCCTTTGGAGTGGAAGAAATGCGGGAAATGAGCAGAGCCTTGAAGGTTTTCTTTTGTTTCTATGCTCAGGTTATTTTGATGCGCATGCCCTGGCTATGGACTATCGGAGTTTGGGA